TTGAGAAATTACATATTTGAACATTATTAATGTACTTTGTTATTTCAGTTATTTCAGAAAGTCGAGATTTAAAGTTTAATCGAATTTCTTAAGTTAATAAATGAGTTTTGTTGCCGACGAGATTTTACTGTTATAAATGTGATATTTATTTTCCGCAAATCTTTTTTTTTTTTTTGTTAATTCAGTTACAAATGAAGATGACGTGGCAATCCGAGTTCACGAAACTCGGAGCGTTACAAATCTAACTCAAACTAACCTCCATAGCAAACAACGAAAGTCACTAATAGCAAAGAGGTTTTGCATAATACCCCTTGCACTTTCATTTTGACACAATGTTATGTTCCTATCGAACCTATAACTAAATCCTCGTAGAGGGAGTAAGGCTAAGCGGAGCGAAAAAGGTATCAAAAGTGACCTTTCATAAAGAAGGTATTTCTAGTTTTCATTCAATTCAATCTATCAAAATTAACATCATTCAATCCAAAATATCAAAAGTGACCTTTCATACCAGCACTCATTAGTTATGGGTTGCAAAATGATAACACCATTCAAAATTACGCCAATTATCCGATAGCAAAATTAACATCATTCAATTCAAACTATCAAAAGTGACCTTTCATACCAGCACTCATTAGTTATGGGTTGCAAAATGATAACACCATTCAACTCAAACTAGTAAAAATCATAACATTTATTCTAAGTAGCACAGCAACACAAGCTTCGAAAACAAAATGACTTCTCACCAAGCTTCGTTATAAGTGGTATAACACCTCTCCTCTTTTTAGTCATTAACACATCCAGTAAATTTAAAATATAAATGAGTAACCGATCAAACATATCCAATATGATATGATAGTTCATTTTCCAGTTTCAAATCATGGTCATACTCAAATCTCCAATAAAAATATAAAGTTATCCTCTCAAGGATATTCTGTACTTCAAAAACAATCAAAGCACCAAAATATAAAGCAAACTCATAAAGTACAGGATTGAAGACTGTCCACTGATGCACTCAATTCACAGTTCTACTAAATTGACATCTCGGCTGCAAATTTCATTCATTGCACTTTGATAGCGTAGATCATCCTGGTCAGACCCATGAAGAAATTGCAAGCCGTCATAGACCATTTGAACACTATACTTCATCAAGTCCAAGATGCCTTTTTAGTTTTGTAATATTATTTTAATTATTTTCAACACAAAGAACTTTGCAATTTCAATTTGGAACATTATAAGATTTTCTATTCCTTTGCTTGGAGAATCTAGTTTCTGACTTACAAATCTCCAAAACCATCTAAGAACAATTTTAGATAGGGTCTCAAAATTAACAACCTTTCACACTACACAGTATTCTTTGACCATATAGGTCCATCAAACACATTTGGGGAATTGCTTTGATCTCCTAAAAATTAAAAGGTCCATGATCCTCAAAATAGTCCTCTGAGTATTACTCAAGCCCCAGTTCTAAAAGGAGCGTGACAATTTACGAGACCTTCGGCTTTGTTTTCCCTCTAAATTGGAATCTCTATTACTGACACACACCATAATAATGTGTTTGAACTAATTATCTGCTGATTCCAAGTGTCATCAATAACATATCTAATCCATTTCTACTGAAACTGGCACCTCAGCTAGGTTGTTCATTCAGTCACACAGGTAGCTCAACGCATGATCTCCCAATTAACATAAGATAAATGACATACAATAAATTATCACTCTGTTATATAAACCATATCATCAAAAATTTACCATTCATGCATTCCTGAAGATAACCATTCATCTAAACTTATGCAACAATATATGCATTCTTTAAACCTTAGCCTATCTGTTCAATTTTGGTATTCAATCAGTGTCGCAGTGCCCAACGAAATGATAATATTTCCACTGAGTGGTGAAAAATATCAAATCCTACAAATAATCGAGAAACTCGCAAGAAAAGAACAATAACAATAGCAAAAACTGGATAAGATTCAGAGAATTATATCATATAGAACTTAGGGTCCCTTAGCAAGGTTTAGCTTCCGTTGCTTCCTCATGAGAAAGCTATGTTAGGCCATCTTTCTCTAAAAGATCTTCTAACAAGACAAAGCACCTTCTGAAAATTATTTGTTCAAAAGCAGCTTCTTAGTCTCAAAAAAAGCTTTTGGCTTTTCAAATGCCCACAGGGCCTTATTATCAATTTCCCAAAAAGAAAGTTTATTATTTACAGAAAAGAAGCCAAATTACAATTCATCTGCCTACTTCACAATAAGCTAATACACATACAGAGTTCCAATTTAAATAGAGAGAGAAACAAGAAGAGAAACAGGAAAAACTCCTAAACATGAGAATAGGAAACAAAGTGAAGAAGGTTTTAGCATTACCATAGCAAATCAATCCAAGCCAGAATTATAACTACCAGCATCACCGGAAGAACTTGAGGAAGGTGCTTTAAGGCCTGCCACAACAACTCTTTTCTTCCTCTCCTCCTCGTAATCGGGATCATCAGTTGGCAACTCAAACCTACACACGGGACAAGTATTTCGCGAGCCCAACCAGGGGACTATGCAGTCGCCGTGATATCCATGTCCACATGGCAATTTCCTCGCCATTTCACCCACATTCACTGAATCTTTACATATAGCACACACCAATGCTTCCTCTTTCTTTTCAATCAACATGTTTTCTAATCCTTCAACTGTTGCCTTTGAAGCTGGCGGAGCCCCTGGCCTTCCTCCACTGTCACTTTCAGCTAAATTATGCAGCAATGATTCGTATCCTGCAGCATCTACATAATCACCCGGGTTTCCGAAAAAAGTATCTGATTCTGGAACCTGTAATCGCAACTCGATTGAGTGGTCCTCCAGCCCCATTAAAATCTCGGCCCAATCAAGAATCCTGTTACGCCTGCTCGCAGCTCGAGCAGCAAAGTCCCTTAGCCGAAGCCGCAGAACATCACGCCGCCTTCTCCGCATCTCCTCTTCTTCATCTTCACTCCGATTCTCGTTCTCCCCCTGCACCTCTCCATTCTCACCATCAGATTGATCCTGATTCTCATTATCATCCTCCACCTCATGATTCTCATCCTCACGGACTTCCACTGAATGCTCGTCTTCATCATCATCATCCCATCCATCTAACTCGATCCGTAAATAATCATCATCTGAAGGATCTGTGTGTTCGGAGGGAGACGGAGGAGGAGCATCCACCTCACGCGCCGCCTCGGCTATGAGGCGGAGAACCTGAATAAACTGATTACCAAAACTAGGGTCATCAATAGGATCAGAACTGGCTCGTGATGGCGCATCACTAGGAGACGGAACTGTAGTAGCAGAAATTGATTCAACAAATCCATTTTTGCACTCATAACATATAACATCAGGAAGATCAGCTATGGTTTCGATCGACACCCGCTTGTCACAGTGGTAGCACCAGTATTGTAAAATATCCCGGTCGGACTCTGGTGATGCTGGGGTTTGGGTGGAGGGTTGGTCCGATGGGGATTCCGCCATTACACAGATCTTTTTTTTTCTTTTTCCTTTTTTAATTTTTTTCGCTCAAAGTGGGAAAGAGCCCTAATTTGTTGCGGTTAGGCGGATAATTTAAAGATCAGGATGGAATGATAGTGAAATTGGAAACAATTAGATCCGTTGGATCAGAAACATATTCTCTCCAGTACTTTTCGGTCCATTTTCACACTATCTGCCGTAAAAGCGCACTTATACATACTGTAACAAAACAAAAAAACAGTTGATAGCGTACAAACCGGAGGAGAAGAACACGAGAGAGTAATTAATTCCACGTGAATATTCTGTTTTCGTTTGTATTTAAATGTGTGGTCTCTCTTTGAATTTTTAAATATATTTTGGAATTATTCCGTTAATTTTATTACAACAAAACTTTTATCAAAATGATATTTACCCTAAAAGTAATCTATGGTCAACTATAATATTTTGGATAATTCTGCTCCTTGTCCCTGGTTTTTGTCCCAAAGTTTGACAACCTGATTTGTCAGCCATTGATTGGATGTATTTTCTTTTCTTTTTTTAAACTGGCCAACCAGTGTTTGACAAGTGTATCTTGTTTTAAATCCTGTCAAAAATTCCTGTCATTGTAGCACTGCTCTAATATTTTTGTATAATATCTCGGAGAGAAACGACTGTGTGATGTTCGACTAATTGTTTTTGTACATAATTTGCATAAGATATTGGAACTACAATTCTTGCTTTCAATTCGGTACGTGCATTTAGAGCTTGTTTGTGAGGGATTAAAATCAGATTAAAATTGAAAATATAGTCGTTGAAGTTGACTTTTATTAGATGGGTGGGACCCAATAACGACTATATTTTCAATTTTAATTGAATTTTAATCATTCCCAAACAAGCTCTTAAAATTGTTTTAGATTAGAAATCGGTCATGAGTTAATGTCAAATCTCTTTCAAGTTTCATTCTTAAAAATCTCTTGTTTAAGTTGCTTGCTTGACTCGAGTTGGTCAAGAGTCATAAATTGTTTTTCAATAGCTTTTACAAAAATTATTAAGCCCCCATTTGATTTGAATTAAAATCTGATTTTAATTCAAGTCAAAGTCAAACAATCAATATTAAACACATCTTTCATGGGTCCCACAATTTTTCAACCACACATCTACTAAAAATCTAATTTTAATAATCACCAAACACTCACTAAATTTGTTAAGGAATTTTTCAACTTGAATATATATTACTTTGACTACGATGGTTTATTACTTTATTCTTTGTAATGCCAAAGACTAGGTTAAAACGGCAAAAACACAAACTCCAAACTAGACTTTAACACAAACATCATTATTTTACTTACAATGATGAAAAGATCTTTAATTACAAAAACAAAACAATACAAAACAAAAAAGTAAATAAAAAAAACCCTAGATACTTCTCTCTTTTATCTCTTGACCTGCAACAGAGTTACCAGTATTCTTTAATAATACAAACAACAAATGCAATTTCTATGCATTATGCGGCTGAGGGAACCGGAACCGGACCTGAGAGGCCGGCGATTTGACTGCGACGCCGTGCCAGCAGATACCGCCGCGGCACATTTCGTGGTGATCGTGATCGCGGGTAAACGCATACGATGTCGCCTTACGGGATAAGTCCCAAGTCAGACTTGCAATTAAGATCACACCCACCGCCGCGGTCGATAGAATCAGGACGTACCACCCGCTGAAGCTCCGTCCTGAAACCAGCCCGTAAGCCTTCATCGCCGCTATCGCCACCAGGTAGATGGTGGTTAGATTTCCCACCACAGCATCGGAAATCGTCATGATTCTTTGGCTATAATTCTAGTGCATAAATGGGGCTTTTGTGACTGCGACTGTGTGGAAATTTGAAAGTCTTGGTGGGTGGAAGTCGACTCAAAAATCTAGAAAGATAGGATGGGGAATTTAATGCTTGTTACTTGTTAGTTGTTTGGGGTGAGGTGAGGGATTCGGGACTTAAATGTTTAAATTGGCCACCGAAATTTGTACCACGTTATGACTTACTCACTTAACTCGATCAATTGTTTCATTAGCCACTTAACTTTGCTCGAAATAGTTAAAAATGATGCTTACGTGGAGGACGAAAAACCATATGGCCTATTAATTCTGTCATACTATAAATTCATTCGCCAATTCAATGCAATATCGTTATTTTCCAAAGAAGACATTCACCAAACACGGCCTTACCAAAATCAATGGAAATGCGTAGCAAAGAAGAAGCTTGAAATTCAGAATAATGAAAACCTAGAGCATCTTTCCCAGAGAATTCTCAGGCCTTTCCTTGAAAACCCACATAAACATTTTCCATGTCATGAACCAAGAAAACATCAAGCGGAGATTACATTTATCAAATCCAGAAATTCCATTACTGTCATGAACTATCTTAGCCTTTGATTTCCCATTCAATACGGGCTTAAAGTAAAAGCTAAAGAAGAACCAAGCGCCCTAGATGGATTTTCGAAATGGATTTGGGGTTTTATGATATGCGGCATGTCTTTGGTCTTTGCCCAATTCTCGTAGCAATTTTTAGAAGAGAAATGAAATGAATTGGGGGTTAGGGCTTGGGAAATGAAATGAAATGAATTTGGAAATGATAAGGCGTGTTTGGGATTGTTTGAAAATGATACAGCGTGTTTTTGTTGACGTGGAAGATCCACTTAGGCATTTAAGGCCATGTTCTCTTTATCGTTTTCAAACCGTTTTCTGTTTTTAATTTTTCAAAACAACGAAAACGCGTTCTCTATCTTATTTTCGAAAACGAGTTTT